CCCCCAACACACAACTAAAATGGTCCATGAATTTTATTTGATACCTCTCTCCTTTTTCAAACTCCGGCTCTAATAGGCAGTACGTACCATGCCAGAATTCTCTGTGGAGATTCTGCGTGAGGCTTCAGAGATTTTATCATGTTACTACAAACCTAAAGTGTGCCTTGCTAATTTTTTTCAGGTCAGAGGGTCACATGTTGGTACTTACCTCCCAAGCTCTGGGGTTTGGCATCACACTCAAAGACATCTCAAAAGAGGTGCCTCAAATACAAAGACAATTAAACATTTGGATTTTGATGCTCCTACACGTGAACATTCTCATCAGCTGCCTGATGATAAAGTACTTCTCCGAACAAATAGTTTTTGCACTTACATAATTCTTTAGATATACTCCTTAAATCCCACTATTGGTTCTGTTTTCATCTTGAAGTATCCATTAAAGGTTTTTTTTGTCCTAAATGGTTAACTTTTTTGATACCAACACCTACTAATACTTTTTATGAGCGAAAATTGATAATGCAAAGCTTTCACTTTCTAATCTCACATCTGAAGCTTTTTGCCAATCATATGTGAACTGGGCGCAATTGGATATAAATAAAACCGGTTTTGATTGGATTCATTGGTTAAAGTGAGTTAATTTTGAATAAAGTTGATTGAGTGGGATTTTGAGTTTGTATTATAATAATATTTACAATATTTTAAGTAAAATTGATGTGATGTAAAAGTAAATGAGAGGTTATTGGAAACAATATCTAGTTAAAAGTATGTGAGTGAATGAATAGTGCCATAAAGTTTATGTGATGTGTAACGATGATTGATTGATATTATTTAACTATATTGATAATATCGATGTGCGTTGGGTTGAATTAAATTTGATTAGATTTTTAGTTAAAGAGTGTAAACAAAATTACTCGGTCAGTCAAAACAGGTTATATTTATAGCCAACCGCGCACAAAATTTTTGACCGCGGGATTATTTCCTTCTGCAGCTCATATGGTGTGAGCGCTGATTGTAGATTATGTGTATCAACGCAGTTTTTCTGCTAATTGATTGTTGGATGCTGATATTTATTAATATTAGGGCGTTTTTATTCTTACCACAGAAACAAGATGAATCTCTTTTAGAAGATATCTGGACTCTTCTGAGAGCTGGGAGATTAGAAGAGGCATGTAGTCTTTGCAGGTCTGCTGGTCAGGTATGAATTGCTTTGCATGTAATTCATAAAGGAAAATCTTGTCTTTATACTGGAATGCCAACATTTTGGCAGCCCTGGAGAGCTTCGAGTTTATGTCCCTTCGGGGGACTCAATTTATTCCCATCAATCGAAGCTGTGGAGAAAAATGGCAAGAATAGAATGTTACAGGCCATTGAATTGGAAAGTGGAATTGGTCATCAATGGCGTCTTTGGAGATGGGCCTCCTATTGTGCATCCGAAGTAAGTAAACGTGAAGTTTGATTGCTCCGAATTCTGTCAGAGATGGATAACTGAAACGCAAAGCTACTTATTAGAATCATAAACTTATTTCTAAATTCTTTTTGCCATTACTTTGCATGTTTACTGTTTAGTTCTGGCAATTGGAATGTATTTTCTTCTTTCATTGATGCTTTAAATGTGAAGCTCTTTATGTTTCACGGTATCTAATTTGTTGAGCTTAATGAAAGTGGTAATCCTTAGCATATCAGTTCATTTCCAGAGATTCCAGATCATTGTTTATGTAGTATTGCTGAACTGTTATTAAGCTTGTTGTATTCTTGTGGTATGTTGTTTGGAGAAAATTGCTGAAGAAGATGGTGGGAAGTATGAAAGAGCGGTATATGCGGCCCAATCCAGCAACCTGAAGCGCCTTCTTCCAGTTTGTTCCGACTGGGAAGTATGTAATTCTTCCCAGTGATGAAAAATTTGAGTATATTGTACTTGATATTTTCTTTTATTATTTTATTTCCTTGAGGAAAAACAGGATTCTCTCAGTATTTGTTCGGAATACATGAAAAAAAAAAGTATTTGTTAGGAATAAAGTTTGCTAAAATGTTTCAAGCGTTCTTAGTTGTCACTCTTGTGGCGTTGAAGTTCATTCAATGTACTTAACTTTTGTATAATGATTACTGGATTTGTTTTTATTGTTTTTCTCATAAAAGCTCTCACCTGTGATCCATGAGAAACTATTCAGAACCATAGAATAGGTTTTTCATGTTTGTTGATATCATAAGACACATCCCCCAAGTTGTAAAAATGTCTGTCTGGTCAATAGTTAAGTTGTGTAACTGACAACATATAATCGAGTGGGTAATAAGATCCAGTGGTGGCATTAATAGATTTGTATTTAATAACAGTTATCTGATAAATTCATGTTTATGTGAGAATATTTAAGATGTTCATCTAATAGTTTCCTTTTTCAGTCTGCATGCTGGGCACTGGCAAAGTCTTGGCTTGACGTACAAGTTGATATAGAAATAGCTCGCATGCGATCAGACAGAACTGATCTGTTCAAGAATCTTGAAGAAGCAATGGAGAGAAGTCCAGGGCAAAAGGATCTTGTGTCTCAGCAAAGTAGTGGACCAGATACATGGCCACTTAAGGTTCTGAGTCAGCAACCAAGGGATCTTACTTCTCTTCTTCAGAAGCTTCATTCAAGGCAAGCATGAACCATTTTAATTAAATTAATAATTTCTGTCACTATAGGCAACTAATTTTGTCTATATCAATCTTTGCATATCTTAGTGACGCTGTGAATGAAGCTGTTACTCGAGCATGCAAGGAGCAACATAGGCAAATTGAGGTAACAATCTTTGTGGAGACCATTGTCTTAGTTTGCTTAAAGATGCCGTTCTTCAGTTATCAATCATCAATTCGACTCATTAAGTTCCATGCTTGCACCAATAAAATAGTCTTGGGATGTATATACATGGAAATAGTTAGACTGTTTGACATTTGGCATGAAAATGGTACTCTAGCACTTCTGGTTTACTCGCTGACATTGTTATTGTTTGAAATTTGGCATGCAAATGGTACTCTAGCACTTATGGTTTACTTTTGACATTGTTATTTATCTCTTTTGTTCATTTTACAAATGCCTAATGTCATTATTAAAGTAAAGCAGTCTGCAGGTATAAATATCACCAGTAATGATTATCAACTTATCATTAATATTTTTCCCTTCGCAAGCAGCTACATTGTTATTTTGGGTTTTTGACTCGCCGTTAACTACCAAGTCTGCTTCTGTTGATAAGTTTTTCTCTTCAGCCTTCCGTTTTGCTAGAAAAAAGAAAAAAAGAATGTAACCGATATTGAATTTATTACTGCATGCTCCTCATGACCACCGTGATACTTACAGTAGTATGTGGACTGCACGGGTGAAAGTCGGGATATGTAACTGCATAATCAGTGTAAAACTGGAATTTTTTTGGGGCTTGTTGGCCCAAAACCTATAGTTATGTTGGGAGCTATGATTTTTTTGGGATTCCAATTTCCCTGTGAAAATGTGTTTGATATCCACAGGAGCTATGCAATGTGTTTGTTTACACTTTCATGAATTGAAACAAAAATGTTACTATGTTAGTTTTTTTCATTGTGACTTTACAGTAGTGATTCTGATACTCAGCATGTCATGATGGTGATGTATCACTGCAATTTTTGTTGAAGCTCCCGGAATGAATATATTATTTTTCTAGGCTTATTTTTATTGTGTCACGTTTAAGTGCAATCCTTTGTTAAAAAAAAGCTTCATATTTTTTAATATTCAAGAGTATAGGTTTCGATGCCAGCGCAGTTAACTGGTTTAGAGGCACTGATAAGTGTTGTACAGATGAATCTTATGCTAGGAAACATACCTCATTTACTGGACCTCATCTTTTCATGGATATCACCTTCAGAGGATGATGGAGATATTTTCAGGTAATGTATACTGTTCTTTGTTATTTATGGTAGTATTTCAGCAATTTCACTTCTTCTTCGCCCCCTTCCATCTTTCTTTGTTTCTTTTTTGTCTTCCTTTTTCCAGCCACTGAAAATTGGATGTATCATTCTAACTAGATACATGCAAAAAAGATAATAGTGGTGTTAATATTTAAAAATGAGCATCTACCTAATTTTGCTGCAGACCTCATGGCGACCCTCAGATGATGCGGTTTGGTGCACACTTGGTGCTGGTACTTAGATACTTGCTTGCAGATCAAATGCAAGATACTTTCAGAGAGAAGATAATGACAATTGGTGATTTCATCATTCACATGTAAGTAGATATTTGTAGTGGAATCTTCTTCTTGGGGATTTTTCGAGAAGCTTGTATATCGTTTGACTTTATCTCCTTTAGGTATGCAATGTTTCTTTTCACTAAGCAGCACGAGGAGTTGGTAGGAGTCTATGCTTCGCAGCTTGCTCGCCATCGTTGTGTAGATCTCTTTGTCCATATGATGGAGCTCAGACTCAACAGCAGGTGCTTAGATTTGATGGATTTGAGCAGTTTCCATAGAACAATTCGTCATTTATTACGCCGTTCCATAAAGCAGCAAAAGCATTCTGTTCATTATGGTGTATTTAGCTGCTTTTCTCTTTAGCTACTTTTATTTACTTTTTTTTAACCTCTTTTTCCCCTTTGAATTTTGTGTTGGCTCGAGCGAAGATGTTTTGTGGGCTAGTGTATAGCTTGAATGCTTGACGAATTTGACATTATATACGAAATCTGTTAATTTGGAAAATTGTGCAACATGTGACTCTATGTTCACCTTAATTTCTTTCTTCATGTATTGACCTCTCCCTCAATCAAGTTCTGTGGTATAATATTCGTTTAATTTCTCCATCTACAGTGCGCATGTGAGATACAAGATCTTTGTGTCAGCTATTGAATATTTGCCCTTTTCTTCTGAAGATGACTCCAAAGGCAGTTTTGAAGAAATCATTGAGAGGTGACTGAATGGTAACCTTACGTTTCATCAAATTTCTTGGATAAGAATTGCTCATGCTTTCATTTTTTTCTCTTAACAGAATTTTGTCAAGATCTAGAGAAGTTAGTTTTGGTAAACATGAAAAGTCATCGGATGTTGCGGAGCAACATCGTTTGCAGAGCCTACAGAAAGCTATGGTTATCCAGTGGCTATGCTTTACACCTCCTTCTACAATTAATGATGCCCGAGCTGTTACTCGGAAACTCGTTCTCCGTGCATTGATGCATAGGTATTTTCTTCTCTGTTATTTGAGGAGTTTATATTCAGTCAGATTATTATTGTGGTGGTTATTTTCTCTTATTTTCCAAAACTGTTGATGAATTAGTTCAAGATGATATTAATTATATGTTTCCATTACATTCACATACCTAATTTTTGAGCACTTGGGTTTCTATTTACTTTGTAATTGGTTATGTTATATATCATCCCCCTGTAAACTCAAGATACAAGAAACACTAGTACTCTTTTACCCTACATGGGCAAGGTCAATTTTGTTATACCAAGGATTAATTAAGTTTAATTTCAATAATATGAAAAAAATCAAGATGAATTTTTAATGATTATGAAAATTTTTTGTTATACCTGAAAGGATGCTTGGATAAAAAAATTCTCAAAATAATCGAAAACATTTTTAACTTAACTTTAACTTAACTCCACTATCATCAGTATCAATATTATTAACAGCCAATCATTCTTACGCACAACATCAACTTTAATTCACTATTCCTCCACTCACACTAATCATCACTTCAAATCTTTTATCTCTTACTTTTATATCAAATTAGCTTTAATTATCTTATTTTAACATTATTTTAATATACACACTAACAACTAATCATAACATATTTTTCAAAATTAACCAAACCAAACCAAAAAATCCAAACAAAACAAAAAAATTTATATCCAAGCATCCCATATATTTGGCTATCGGTCCACTCTTTATAACAATATCTTTATTGGGTTATTTTTAACAATATCATTGTAACTGGTTGTAGTCGAAGCTTTCGATCAATAGCATATTACATATTAAACATATTTAAACTATTACATTATTGTAATTTGTTATTTAATAAACATGACTCACAACAAAATTGTTAAGCTACATTAAAAAATCAATGTTATACATATCACTGCTACCAAAGACAGAGCTACATGGAGCCACGGGGCCGTGGGGCCCTTGATTTTTTTAAATCAATATATATATTTATAAAAAGTACGATAAAATATATATAGAAATGTAAAAAATAATTAGAATATATTAATAATTAAAACTTTTTTCTTATGTTATTGGTATTTAAATTAGTAAAATTATTTATTTATTAAAAAAATGTACTAACAATTCTTATTTTAAATTTCTAGATAAACTTTTAAAAATATTTAAAATGATTTTACTCTTTTGCTCTCTTAATTGTAAATCGATTTAGTGAATTGTAAAACCGAGTATTTAGTTGGATTGTTACATTTTTAATGATGTTTTTTTACTCTTTTTTTTGTGTAATCACATATTTTTAAGTTTACTTATTTTATTCTTAAAAAGAATGTTAATTTGATAAGCTCTCATCAACAAAAATGCTATGCAATGTGGTGCAAAATATCAATTTAAATCAATTTTTTCAACTAGAAACTTATTTTTCCATAAATTTTAGATGTTGAACATAAAATATAATTACATGAAATCTTTTTTTTTTTTAATTTTGTTTTTGTTTTTGTTTTTGTTTTTGTTTTTGTTTTATGTTTGAGGGTAATACAGATTCTAAGTTTTAAAAAACTTGATGGTACACGTATCTCTATTTATATTTGAAGTAAATATATTTTTATATGAAATGAGTGTTTCGACTTAAACTACAAGCTCGTTATTTAACATTATCGGGGGACCCCCTTGAGTAAAAATTTCTAGATCCGTCATTGATTTCTACACTTTTTGCTGAAACTTCTCTTTTTACTTTATATTTTTTTTAGTATCTTTAAGATTTTGATATTTTTAATAATTTTCACAAAGGCGTTCAGACAGAGTGATACTGATACATGATAATTATAATTTCTTTTTAATTTTTGTATGAAAGGGTTTAATAAAAAAAAATATAAGAGTTGTCATTTATTAATAACATCGACATGGTATATTTAGGCCATAAAAACTTGCAATGTGACGAGAGGGGGTATCTGAGTTGGTAGCACTCTTCACTTAGGAGTTAGGACCGAGTTCGAGTCATACAGGGTAAGTGGGACACCACTCTTGATCTATTTCAAAGAAAAAAAAAAAAGATAAACACTTGCACTATTAAAATGAAAAACTTGATTGAACAAATGTCGATATAACATATATAAATAAGTTAAAAAAATGTTTCCATATAAATATGTAAGAATTAACTTTTATTTTATATGCATATTATGAGCATTAAATTAAAAAAAAAATAATTAATCTATTGTTTTATACTTAAAAAGCTGATAAAATAACCAAGTATTGAATATTATATACAATCAAAATATTTATATATTCAGTAATATAAAAGGCGAAAAAATAGTGTGTGTGTTTATAGAATTTTTATTTAATAATACATGAATATAATGTAGATTTATGGAGTGACTTCTCATTAATAATATATTATGTATGAATAATTTGATGAAAACCTAAATAGTTAATAAATAAAAAAAATATTTCTTAGTAATTAAATATATATCAAATTAGTAAGAACCCAACAATTTTTCACGCTATTTTCAGACTTTATCTTTCCATTAAACATAATAAATATTTTATAATTTATAATTGATTCATGATGATTTAATTTATAACTGATTGATGGTAATTTGGGCATAATTATAAGTATACTTCAATTTAGGTATCTCATAAAAATTCGAAAATTATAGAATGTTATATTCTTTTCCTAAAGACTTGATTTTTAATAAGAAAGACATAATTTCTAAATAAAATAATAATGTTTGACGGGAAAGTTTTAATATATTAAGAATATATCGATTAAAAGGAAAAAAAAAATAATCTTTTTTTTTTCAACATTTGTTATAGTTTATTTTTCACGTTGTCTTCCTGTTTTTATTATACAAGTGATAGACCTGATTTTATTCTTGCAGCAATTTACTTTTTCGGGAATTCGCCCTTATTTCAATGTGGAGGGTGCCTGCAGTACCCGTTGGTGCTCACACAGTGCTTAGTTTACTTGCGGAGCCTTTGAAACATCTAACAGAAGTTCTTATTTCCTCTGAAGATCATGAAGTTTCAGAAAATTTGAGGGAGTTTCAGGACTGGGTATGCCTATGAGTTATGAAGTATAGTTGCCCTTATGAATAATAATGGCCTTTTTGCGGACTCAATGTATTGTATTTGTCATGAATCAGAGCGAGTACTACTCTTGTGATGCAAAATATCGCAACTGGCTGAAAGTTGAACTAGCAAATGCAGAAGTTTCACCTGGTAAACTTTCAGAGGAGGAAAGACAAAGGAAATTTACAGCAGCTAGAGAAACTCTTGAATCTTCTTTGCTATTGCTACAAAGTGCGTTATTTAATTCCACTTAATTATTTCCGAAGTGTATAGGACAATAAGTCTAGGAATCCAGTTTTTTGTTATCATAATGAGCAGTGTTTTACGTAGGCTCCTATGGATCCCCCCCACCCCCATTTTTCCATTTGGATCTGAAACATCTATAAAGATTGTATGTTGGTTCAAGAAAAATAACAGCTGGCGCTGATGCTCTTGTTACAGGAAAAGAGAATTCTTGGCTGGTTCCAACTCAAGATCATGTTCATGAATCTGAAGAACCTGTTTACCTGGAAGTGCATGCTACAGCTGTCCTGTCTCTTCCTTCTGGTGAATGCATGGCCCCGGATGCTACATTATGTGCGACATTGACAAGTGCCCTTTACTCATCAGTAAGCGATGAAGAAGTTCTCCATCGAGAGTTGATGGTACAGCTCGTAACTAACTTCTACCCTAAAAAAAAAAAGACAAAAAAATATTTCAAACAAACCATGTATACATAGGTCTTTGTTGTTAGAAGTTGTGTTTGTCCCATATTGGTTAGTTATTAGGTTACTATTGTGTAGAAGTGTGGGTTGGGCACCGTCTCCTTTTGAGCTAGCTTTTGGGGATGGCTTCCACTGTGTCCCATTTAACAGTTGTATGTAAAAGATAATGAAATTTTGTCATCCAGATGTCATATATATCACTAAATTTCTATCAAGCACTCTTGTATTACTTGTTTGAAAGTGTTCCATCTGTATATTGAGTTTATATTTAACATTCAATTCAATATTGAAGTAATGGGCGACCTCTAACTTGTGACTTGGGCATTTAAAGTTTCTCTTACCGTGTAATATTATTGATGTGTAGGTGAATGTTTCTACCTCGCCAAAGGACA